TTCTCGGACTGCTTCAGGGATACGGTATGGGGGTTGCCGTAGGGGGTTCTGTCCGGGTGTCTCGACCTTGTGTACAGCTAGGGTAGTGTACCCGGGTTCTTGGGAGAACGTGGCCTGCTTCTCCCACAGTAATTGTCTTGCCTGTACCTTCTCTGCCGGGTTTAGTCGGTCCCCTAGCTGTACAAGACTAGTAAGGTCTGTCTGGGGGTCCCTCTCTAGCAAGTCAGGTAACGGTAAGTTCTCGGGGTCGTCAGTAGCTGGGGCACATACTGCCGCAACATCCTCTGGTCTCTCCTGATACTCCTTCAGCATGTTCACATGGAAGGATCGCTGAATCCTTTCATCTGAACAGCTGGCTATAAGGTAGGTAGTATCGCATACCTGAGCTAACACTTTATACGGGCCCTGCCAAGATGCTTGCATCTTGTTCGTCTTCACAGGCTTGAGTACCAGAACCTTCTGCCCAACCTGGAAGATCCGCTGTCGGGCACCCCGATCGTACCACCGTTTCTGTCTCCCCTGGGCCGCCTGGAGATTCTCCCTTACCATCAGGGACAGTTTCTCCATGCGGTCCCGGAGTTCCAGGACATATGGTACTATGGGGGTCCCTTCTTGCTCTGTCTCCCCCTCCCAGTGTCCTCTAATGAGATCTAGGGGTCCACGGACCCTTCTCCCATAGAGTAACTCAAAGGGGGAGAACCCAGTAGATTCCTGAGGCACCTCTCTGTATGCAAATAGCAGATGAGGCAGGAATCGCTCCCAGTCTCTGCAAGTGTCAGTAAAGGTCCTCAACATCTGTTTGAGGGTGCCATTAAATCGCTCGCAGAGACCGTTAGTCTGTGGGTGATAAGGTGAGCTAAGCAGAGGTTTAATACCGCACACCTTCCACAGCTGCTGGGTAAGCACAGCGGTGAACTGGGTTCCCTGATCGGAGAGGATCTCCTGAGGGAACCCGACCCTAGTGAAGATTTTAACCAGGGCATCAGCAACCGTCTCTGCCTCTATATTAGACAGCGCTACTGCCTCTGGGTAACGTGTGGCATAGTCCACCACGGTGAGAATATACTTCTTACCTGATGGACTAGCCCTGGCCAGTGGACCCACAATGTCAACGGCTATGCGGGAAAAGGGTTCTCCAATGATAGGCATCGACTGAAGCCTAGCTTTTGGGTGATCCCCCCGCTTACCTACCCGTTGACAGGTGTCACACGTGCTACAATAGACCCGCACATCTCGGTTAAAATTGGGCCAGAAGAAATTTTGCGTGATCCTATGAGCTGTGCGGCGGGAACCTAGATGGCCGGCTAATGGCACATCATGCCCGATCCGCAGAATCTCCTGCCGGTATTTTGCGGGCACCACTAGCTGTCGATTCTGCGGAGGGGTATTCGGCTTCTGGGGCGGTTTCGGGATCCTGTAGAGTCTATCCCCCACCCACTCGTAGTGCTCCCCATCTACTCCTTCTCCCCCAGAATCGGCCCTGGCCCTGTACTTTGCTAGCGTCGGGTCTTCCCTGGTTTCCTTCCCGTATATCTCTGGGGTATCCCAGCCTAAAGGGGCCTGGTCTAAGGTACAAGTCGGGGTAGAGAGTCTTACCTGGGTCTCAACAGCAGGTGGGCCGGTCTCGGCGGCACGGGTCTGGGCACGGGTCGTGACAGCGTCCACTTCAGCAGGACCCATGGGAGCGTAGGCGGAAACAAGGGGCGCCAAGTCATTGCCAAGGAGAACATCCGCTGGTAAGTCCTTCATGACCCCCATATTCACATGTCTAGCGCCCACTCCCCAATCCAAATGTACCCGGGCAACGGGCAGACGGAACACGGCACCTCCAGCTACTCGTACGGCGACCGTGTCCCCTGTATGTTGGGCTTCGGATACCAGGTGCTTCTGGAGCAATGTCATAGTTGCCCCGGTATCCCGTAGACCACTGACCTCCTTCCCGTTTACTTTCACACACTGCCGGTGATGCTGTCGGTTATCCCGGTGGGCAGCCTGAACGGGGTCTGCCTCATGCAGGATGCCCCAGCACTCTTCTTCCTCTACACAGTGAGCGGCCGGGAGGGGAGGTCGGGGGTTGCCGCCTGCTGGTCTCCGCCAGGACTGGTTCTGGTTGGCACTGTTCATCGGGCACTCGGGTCGCTTGTGCCCTAGTTGTTTGCACAGGTAGCACCGAATGGGTTGCGTGTACTCCCGTGCATTAAACCTAGGTGGCTGTTGGTACGGGGCAGATGGAGGAGGTGCTGATGGGCGAGTCATGGGAGGCTGGTATAGGTTGGCGGGGGCTGGTGTTGCTGGCCTGTATTCCACTCTGGCGGGAGCCTTGCTGATGAGACTGTCCAGTTTGCGGGCGTCGGTATACTCATCCGCCAGGCGAGCTGCTTCGTGCAGAGTGGAGGGTTTACGGTCCCTTACCCACTCTCTGACCCCTGTGGGCAATTTGTCAAAACAATGTTCTAAGAGGAACATCTGTAGCACCTCTTCTCCGGACACAGCCTGGCACCCCGCCATCCAGTGGGCGGCTGTGCGATGCACCTTACATGCCCATTCCACATATGAGTCCCCAGAGGTTTTAACCGTGTCTCTGAACCTCCTCCGGTACGCCTCAGGTGTAACAGCATACCGGGAGAGTAAAGCTTCCCTGACGGCCCCATAATCCCCTATCTCCTCATCTGGAATGGCCCGAAAAGCCTCGCTGGCCCGGCCAGATAACTTGCCGGACAGTATAGTAACCCAGTCTTCCAGGGGTACCTTGTGCAGGGCACATTGCCGCTCAAAATCAGCAAGGTACCCATCAATTTCTCCTTCTGTCTCATTGAAGGCTTTAAATGCTGTAAAGGGTACCTTTTTCCTATCTCCCAGGTTTGCTGTGACTGGGGCTGCTGCAGCACCACTTTGGCGTAGCAGGTTGGCCTCCACAGCGGCTATGACCTGGGTGACAGTCTCAGTAGTTGGGTTGGGACCATAATGGGCCAGCCTGATCCTTACCGCCCGGTCGAAGCTTGCCTCCTCGGGGGTTCTGTCAGCTGTGCTGGGTCCATCGGTTCCCTCTGCCGCTGGTACCCCATCCATTTCCAGCAATAATGTAATAATATCCCTCTTCCTGAGGTTACTGGCTTGTCCGCCTCTTTGCTCTAATAAATCCTTTAGGGTAGCTCTCCTCAGGTTTTGATACTGTAATTCCATTTAGTCCCGGTTGTAGTGGTTTCTTTGGGCGCTGAGGATCATCCCGTCGCTTGCCACCAGTTGTTACGGTACCTCCAGGAACGAAATGTACAAACCGCCGTTTAGCGAGTATTCCCCGTTCGCAATAATGTGGTCGGGTAGCGGGTATAATAAAACCAGGCGAACCGCCAGCCAGGGAACACTCCAAACTCCCGAACGGTACCTGTACGGCTAATTCCCTTCGCAAGCCGCAAATCCACGAACGGCAATTAATAACCGAACGACAATATCTCCCAAGCGGCAAATAATCCAAGTAAGCAGTCTCTCGCCGCTGGTATCCAAATCCCCCCAATAACGAGACCAAGCTCCGCTTTGAGGGTAAAACACGAACTGGTTTACTGTGGGCTACCTGCCCGGTATTTATGCAGGTCTCCCACTTGGTGGACACTCCCCTAGGGGACCAAATGGGAGACTGAAATCACAGAGGGACATGGGGACATTCTGGACATACATCCCCACAATATTCCCAGCATGCAGTACAGTTCCCTCCCCTCTGCTCGGGGAATAATTGGGAAGTAATTTAATTATCTCCCCGAGCAGAGGCAATCGCCATTTTAGATACAAGTTACAAAAACACACAAAAATCCATAACTTAATAACTGCTGAACATTTTACATCAGTCTTGCATATCCCCAGATAGCCTGGATCTGAGGGCACATTATTGGAGAATAGCGCTCAGATCCCATTCGCACAGTTCAATCGCCATGGAGTCAAAGTCTCTTTCAGTTCTTCGGTATGCGATTGACTCCATGGGACGGCTATCTGGGTTAAGTCCATTCGTGTGGTTGAATCTCCCGAACGGCTGTCGTTCGCATGCTTTTGTCGATTGAGAAGGGGAGGTCGACGGCTTCAGCGGTGTTCGGCTGAAAAAGTGTCCGTTTTCCGATCCATGAAATAATCGTTGAACACCGCTGGTCGTTCGCATGGACAAAATGGCCGCCGCCTCGTGGTCGACATACGAACGACGACCACCCGGCATTCGGTTTTTAATTGAGAAGTGTCTGTGGTTAACCGCAACGTTCTAATTGGGATCAATAGGTTAACCAGCAGCACACTTCTCTTCTGGGTGGCCGTCCGTTCGGTAGTTCCGTTCGACAAAATCGACATTCCCTTAAACAAAGCATACGAACGGGGAAATTCATGAAACGGCAAAACAGACGAACAACGCAGTTATAATCCAGACAGATGGGTCTGTCACAGTGGTCATATCTGTAGTGGGATTTAGTTTGGTTGCCTTTGGGTCGGCGTGGTTACGGGGCGGTGATTGGTGTCTTTTGATGCTATGTGGGACATGGAGCTAGGGGACATCAGAAGGTAAGAAAAACGTAGGGGGTGTAGAACAAACAGTTAGGCAGTACGCCTTAAAGGACTCCTACATAGGGAGCTGAGATGTGCCGGGAGAATCCCGGTCACAGTCGTTGGGGAGTGGGTGTATGAGCCCGGCCGTAATCTGGTGACTCATCCGTGGCTGCAGCAGTGGGGTCACAGCGTTGCAACGTTAATATAGTGGGCGCCTTTCAGGGTTTAACTCAGTGGCGTTCCAAGATGGTGGCCCTAGAGTGTAGCGCCTGTGCCCCAGAGGTCCTGTGAACCAACCCCTGAACCTGTAACTTTGAGCACATATAATTGATAATGTGGGGTATAACAACCAAAGGGGGAACATAAGGAATACATTGGTTAATTCAAACTTACACTCTTGTCATCTTAAGTCTCTGGCGGTATACTCATGGGTTGTTAACCGCTTGCCTCCTTCCGGAGGTAAGAGATATCTGCAGCGTTCAGGTGGTTGACCAGTCTCTTGTTACTCTGGGAGTTTTGTGACGGTGTTGTTTCATCTCCTCTGTGACTTGTATGCCCCAGTCCTTGAGTTTAATGAGCCCCATTTCTGTGTTAAGTATTACGTGCATTTTTTCTTCATGGTGGATCAGTAGTTTGGCCGGGTATCTCCACCTGTAGGCGATGTTCTTCTCTCGCAGGGTGGCTGTGATCTGGGCCAGATTTTTCCTGTACTGCAATGTTTCTGCTGATAAGTCAGCAAAAATTTTGATGTGTCCATACGGGTCCGGCATGCCTGCCGTTCTGCTCACTCCTACGATTTGTTCTTTCACGTGGAAAAAGTGTATGCGTGCGATGACATCCCTTTCTGTGGAAGGCAGCAGGTGTTGCGGCCGTCTGAGGCGGTGCATCCTATCCACTACCATCTGGTCTGGGTGTATTGTTGGGGCGAGCGCTTGGAACATATCTTGGAGGTAGTCACCAAGGCCTGCCGGCAGCACTGTTTCAGTGCTATTTAGGTTTGTTTCGTATTCTTGCACTTTTTCAGCCAGGTAGTTGTGAGCATCTGTGCAGTCATCCAGTTTCTGCTCTATTTGGGCTGTGCACTGGCCTATGTCTGCAACATCTTTCCTTAACTCTGTTGCCAGGCTTTGTAGTTGTTTTTTCATAGTAGCCTGGAAGTTGTCGGCTAGTTCGGCCAGCATGAGCCTCATTGAGGTTGTGGTAAGGGGATACTCCTCTGTTAGGGAGGTGATAGATGTCGCAGGCAAGATGGATCCCTCGCAGGAGCGATCTTCGCCGCCATCTTGGACTGAGCCGCTGGCTTCCCGCGGTTTCTTTGCGGCGGATCTGGCCAGAAAAAAGGTCGCTCGTTCAGCTTTGGCAACTTTTTGTCTCTGCCTCTGGGAAATTGTGGGTCTGGGTATACCTTTATTTTGTGCTTTGCAGTCCGTTTATTTGTTCTTAGTCCCCAATGCTGCAGGAGCCTCACATGCGTGCGTCCATGCCGATCGGGCTCCAAGCCACGCCCCCCATAAATGTATGTTTTAATGTAATTGTGAAGCACTTTGGGCAACAACGTTGCAATTAAATGTGGTATATAAATAAATAAAAGTTGAAATGCATTTCTCACTCTATCAAGCTTGCCATGTGCACTTTTTAAATTTGATCAATCAATTGGTTAGTGTAATGTTTACTATCTTTACTCACTCCAAACACTCCACACAGTTACTCAGTCCAACCTTTCCACAGTTACTCCAGTCACTCCAACCACACAACAGTTACTCAAGCCACTCCACCCAGTTACTCCACCCATTCCAGTTGTAGACTACTGGTGGAGGCAAGAAAACTTCACACAATTTCCCCAGAAATTGTAGCTTTTCTAGTTTTTACTGTACTTATTGGCCCTCTGCAGCACCCCATTTAAGCATGTTCAGGTGAGTGCAGCCAACCCCTTGTTTTCATATATATATATATATATATATATATATATATATTTATATATATATATATATATTAATGAAGGAAATTTCAAAGATTAACTCTCCAGTATACATCTGAAATCGACGTTTCAGCTCCTCTAGGGAGCTTTCATCAGGACATAGATATTCTTAACAATGAAAAAAATGCACTTATATAGGACATGTAATAATAACGTACTCACATTCAGCTGTTGTTCATCAGCTGTTGTTCATTGCCATCCGCCATCGGGAACGCCGTGCCCGTCCATTTGATTCTCAGCTATTTCCTGGTTAGTCATCTGACCAAAGGGGTCATCCTAATAGGCTGAATCTCGCGTCGGCTAGACAACCAAGGATGCTTACGTCCCATTGGAAGAGACTCATTATTACAAATAAATGTTTCAGACAGGCTTAATCTGTCTTCTGATAGCGCAAGGACGGCACATTGGTATTGTTACCTGCGTGTAACCTGATGGTTGGACGGAAATGTACAAGCTTACAAAACAATTCATTAATCCACAAATGTTTAATTCCCTCAGTTCAAATTGTTATCTTGTGAATATTAAATAATGCATGAAAAGCTATTATACATTGCGCACTAATTTTATATATAGCAAATTAGATAAAGTAAATTGATAATAATAATAAATAGTTATAATAATAAATAATAAATACATTTATTGTGGTCTAATAAATAAATAAAATAAATTGAGTGAAATTGTGATGACTATAGTGTGTCAATCCTCAAGTAGTAAATGATGATGACTGTATGACAGTGTCTGTATAAAAAAGAGATAATATTGATTAAACTTGATTAATATACTACAAGCTATCCAAGGATCTTAAAGTGTCTGAGTGGTGAAGAGAAATGAATCTCATCAAATCTAACTTATAACTATAACTCAGTGTATAAAATAATAAAATAAATAAGATACTGTCACTCTATATGATAAGGTGAAAGAGTATCTACCTCTTATGATCATATGTGAATATAATCTTGTGGGTCAAATCTAAGGGAATGAAAACATGTCAATGTGGTTGTAGAATATGCTTGTTCTTTTTCAGAATCGAAAGAAGTATAATGATCATTAATCCTACAAAAAACAATTTCAAAGCTTAAAAACTTTAAGAATATATACTAAAAAATTATTTACCTTCTAATGTTATCTTTGGATTAAACTTGAACTAGTGTAGAAATAATTACAAGGATTGTAAGTTAGAAGTTAGTAGTATATTTTAGTATTTTTGTATGTTTTCATGTCGGTATTTAAGTTTCGTGGTATATTATGGATTTACCATTGTGCGACCTATCAACATCCAACTAATGCAACAGCAAAGCTGGAAACCAGCTAGACAAAATGTCTAGTCACATAACAATGTCAAACATGTTATATCATAAGACAAATGTATACACCACGGTTGCAAAATGCTTCTGAAAAAGTGAAACTAAATAAAGAATAAAAAAAAAAAAAAAGAAGTTAGTAATACCCCACAAAATGAATAAATCTATAGCTGAGCACTATATACTTTCCAACTGAAAATCTAGCAGTCCTTATATAAATGCCATAAATTAGCATTTCTCATTTGAGGCCTTTCGTGGAAATAGTTCCCAATTGGCATATCCAGTACGCTTCCCTCTGCAACAAGAGTCTAGCTCTGTCTCCACCCCGAGCAGGCATAGGAAGATGCTCAATTGCAACACATCTTAGTGAAGTCAACTGATGGCGTTGTTCCAAGAAATGTCTGCCCACTGGCTTATCTGACTTGCCATCACAATAGGCTTGCCGAATACTAGACCTATGGCCTCTAATTTTCTCACAGAGAGCAGTCTCTGTTTTGCCAACATAATTGAGTCCACATGGACATGTCAATTTATAAATTACATGGTCAGTCCTGCAGTGAATCCTTTGTTGGTTTCTGTATATTTTACCTGTATATGGGTGTGTGAAAGTTTTCGAAGGGAAGAGGTGACCACAAGTTGCACACCCCAAACATCTCACACACCCTACATTGGTATTCTCCTTCTTTGTCTTATTATAGCAATGCCGTGGATCAGTCTTAACTAATAAGTCCCTCAAATTCTTATTCCGTCGATAGCAGATCATGGGAGTCTGCTGGAAAATCTCCGGTAATGAAGGGTCCAGTTCCAAAGCTTGCCATTGCTTCTTGATTGTAGAATTTAGCTCTAGACTTGCTGTGTTCAACTGTGTAGAGAACCTACATCGAGATTCAACCATTTTGGATTCATTTTGTGAATTTGGACCTGACGTTAATCTTGCTTTGGACAGTGCCCTATCAAGAACCATTCGGGGATACCCCCTCGCTTGAAATTTCTCATACATCTGAATCAGTTGTTGTTCTCTCTGTTCTCCCAGTGAGTTATTTCTAAAAACTCGTAAAAACTGTGAGTAGGGCAAAAATTGCTTCAGGTGTTTAGGGTGAAAACTGTCAAAATGTAATATCCTTTACAAGTTGGAGTGCAAGGGCTTTCTGTATTTTTTTATATATATATATACATATATATATATATATATATATATATATTTAGGAGTCTAGCCAGCTCCTTGGTTCTGCACCCCTCCCTGTCACAGATGCCTCGTCTCAGGACCCTATTTAGCCTTGTACTGCAGAGAACTCGAGATGGAAGGATTTCCCCCTAGTAAGTAGCTCATTTAGCAGACAGTTGGCTGTGACTGTGTGTCAGTGATTGTGTGTGTCTGAGTGATTGTGTATGCCTGTCAATGTGTGTGTCTGTAAGTGTGTGTGTCAGTGATTGTGTGTATGTGTCTGTCTGTGTGTGTCTGTGAGTGAGTCAGTGTTTGTGTGTGTCTGTCAGATTGTGTCAAATCAGTGTGTGAGTATGTCAGTGTATCTGAGAGTGTGTGTCTGTCAGTCAAAGTGTGTGTGTTAGTCTTTTACAGGAAGAGGTGTGACATTAACAGGAAGGGGTGGGGCAAATGTAAATTAGGGGGTGCCAGAGTTCCATCATGTCTAGGGCAGCACAGATCCAAAATACACCACTGTACATGCACTTACTACAAGGACTAATCGTCTAGTTTATGTTTTCTCGTTTTTAAACCTTATTTACTTTTCTTTTAATATTACTGATCTTCACTTAGATTCAGTTTTCGAATAATAATAAATGTTATATTTTACGTATATTAGTTCTATATAGTTAGGAGAACCTGAGTGTTTCCTTTTTCTTTCCTTTGTTCTTGTGTAGGTGTTTAGGGGTTATCTCCCATTTTTACAGAGTGCACCTGCTTCAAAGTTGGCTCTTTTCTAGTTTTAGTTTATAGCAGTTATTGTGAATCTTTGTTTTAGATAGTCAAATGCATTTTGGGCCTTTTAAGTCTATATAAAAAATCTATTTTTTTTAAGTGAGGAGAGTAAGGGGTTGGACTATCTCAGAGAAATTATTAATGACTTTTCTATAAAAGTTTGAGAATCCCAAGAAATTTAGCAATATTTTCATAGTAGTAGAGATGGGCCATTTGAGGAAACATTGTATTTCTGCATCATCCATCTGCATGTCCTGAGGAGAAATTACAAAGTAATCTCAGATACTTCAAACAGACACTTTTCAGGTTTTTCATAAAGATTTTGAGTTCTTAGTCTTGATCAAACCCATCTCACGTGTTTCCTGTGATCTTGAAGATTGTCAGAGAAAATCCAAATGTCATCTAGGTATATTAGGACACAAATTTTAAAGAGGTCCCGAAATTGTCCCGAATGTCATTTATAAAATGTTGGAATGTGGAAGAGGCGTTGCATAGTCTGAGTGGCATAACAAGATATTCAAATAACCTGTATCTAGTTCAAAATGCAGTTTTCCATTCATCTCCTTTTTTCATTCTTATTAAATTATAGGTCCCATGTAGATCAATCTTGGCATAAAGAGTGGCAATTCTTAGTCTTTCAAACAATTCAGTAATTAATGGAACAGGGTA